AGGAAATAGTGGGTAATCCCGAGCGGGCAAGATTTGGTTTATCTTGCCTCCTTGTAGAGCTTGCCATATATATAGTAGTGTGTATTGTGAATTTTGTGGCAAAGTGTGACTGGCCAATTTTTCATTAATGGGTACAGTATCTATGTTTGGTGAGAAGCCAGTTTAAATTATCTTTGGCATTGAGTGGTATCATGGGTTATTGAGGTTCACTTTTATGAATACAGGTATGCTCAAAATCAAAACTTACAGCCTTAAATTACCCTGTGTCACATTGTCAACAGATAGCTCAAGTCAGCGAAATTCCTTTTGGATAACAACAAATATTCTATAATAAGTACATTGCATGCTACCCTCAGCATTTCTGTCCAATTGCCTTTTTCTGGTACCCACTACACATGCTGACTAGAGAGTTAACAATAAAAGTTGTTCTTAGAAATTCATATAAAGTATGTGTAGGCTGTAAGCTGTTGTGCTCTATTACTTACAGAAACCTTGATAAAGTTGTTAAATTTGTTTCAGAAAAGACTGGTCAGGAATGTTTGATATTATTATGTGCATGGCTGGAAAACCAGGTTTGTAAATAAGAGCTAATAATCTCTTCTGACTGGTTAATTGAGGTTGATACATTTTCTGGATCTGCCTGTGATGTATGAAACTGAGTTTATTTGCAGGGTATCAGGAAGATGATTTAATTACAGTCGAACCTCCCGTAAGCGACCACCCAAAATGTCAAGCCTTGGTGGTCGTCCAAGGGGGGTGGTCGCTTACGAGTCAATTTCGAGAAAAATTCTGTCCTTCCCATTGAGAAATTTCCGTCTCTTGTACTACCAAGGAATGCCATAATGTTACAACACCTTATTATTTAATTTACGCTCTATTATCTGTCAAGTGGTCGCTTACTGGAGGTTAAAAACAAAAGTTTTAGCTCTAAAAGTGGTCACAGTCACTTACGAGAGGTGGCCGCTTACAAGAGGTTCCAAATACAGTGATTCGATTTGTCGCTGAGGAGATTCAACTGGTCGCTGAGGAGAGGTGGTCGCTTACGAGAGGTGGTCACAACCAGAGGTTTGACTGTAATTAAATAACTGGTGCACACAGTTGTATCAAAATCTTAACTCAGGGTTGCCACAGTCAGGAAAAAGTCAGGTATAAAAAAA